AAAAAAAAAAAGGTCATGGCTTTCCTTTTTCTCAATATAGGTATATTATGGTACTACTCATAATTATCATAGGTTTCCAAATAAAAAGGCCTTGGGAGGCCCATAAGCCACAGAGAGAAAGTGAACAAGTGAGAGAAAGAATGAAGAAGAGGCATTAAAATATTTTATTTAGCTTACGTGAAAAGAAGTGAAAGAAAGCAAAGAATTAAGGTAATTTATACACATAAAAGAGAGTGCATTAAGTATAATTAAGTAAGTTCTGAAACACAGGATAAGAGATTCCTTTTACACTTGATGTTCCAGGCACTGAGATGAATCAGGTACAAGATTTGGTGAGCCTGGCCAGGAACATGACAATGTGACTAGGACAGAGCCAAGAGATGGGAGAAAGGCTTATGGTGGGCCACTATCTAGATGTTTGGAATATGAATAGTGATAAATAAGTGCTTTGCTTTCATCCTATGTAAGTCCCTAAAAAATACATATTTTATATATAAAATTTAACCTTAATTATAATGACTTCTTACCTGGATTTCATTTCCAGAACTGCAGATATTTCTTGTTGGGAAGCCTGTAGTTGGTATAAGAGCTTGACGATATAGCTAAAGTGTTCTGGGTCAAATACCATCCCAGCTTCAACAAACTGTAGAGGACAGAAAAAAAAAAAAAAGAGTCTTTCTTACACATATATGAAAGAGTTGAAAACCAGTATGTAACAACTATGAGAATGGTGGGAAAAAATGAAACAAGGAGACAAGAAGAATTATAATTCACTTAAAAAACCTGAAGCATATTTTCTTCCAATATTTGAGAACCACAGTAAGACACCCTACCTCAAGAATTTAAAGTGAAAATGAAAATAATGTTTGAATTTAAAACTGGAATATTCTGTTTTCCAAGTTATCTCAATGAATTTATCACCCATACCTCCTGTTTGGTACTCATTTCGTCTTTAGCCTACTACACTTGTGTTTATATCTCATTCCAGATTGTAAACTTCCTGAGAAGTATCAAACTGATGTTTTCTAAAACTACTAGTGGTGATCAGTAATTTCTGGTTCAAAAAATTTCCAGGCAGGTAATTCTGTCAAGTTCTGTAATGTGGACCTAGAGGTATTCACCGAAATATTTGTACATTCTGCTAGAGTGGTTCCAATGCTGCTCCTTAAAGAAAATGGGAGGTTTTCTTGATATTAGCCTGTTCTGAAATGGATGGCTGGGCAGTGCTAAACACCAGTAAGTATCCAAAAGTACAGATTTTAATATATTTTTAAAAAGCCATAAAAATTCTTTTTTCTTTTTGTTTAGTGTCAAATATAAAATCAATTCCTAGCCTCCATGTTTCTGCCTATCTACTTTCTTTGTTTTGGTCATGATTTTCTATTTATATATTGATCTGTGTATTTATTTTTGTTAATAAATGAACTCATATCTTTTTGATAAAGAGAGTTTTCTTTAACCATCTTTAAGGTGTAGATATGACTTCACAAATCAGAAAGAAGTCACCTGGAGTGCTTGGAACGATTTATTTAAAGGTAAGGCCCATCAGTCACTGGAATATGTTTATAAATCCTATTTTAAGAGGAAAAAAAATTTCTGAAAATAGAATTCTTTGGCATCAAGAATATGAGTAAAAGGCAGTTTAAGAGTATAAGTGGAAAGAATTATTTTCTTGGTTATTCACAATCAGAGAATAAAAGAGATAAAGTAAAGCATACCTTGCAAAATATATCAATTAAAGCAGGTACAGCATTCCTTAATTTCATAGTTGCCACATGTTCAAATATTTTTAGTAATATTTTCAGAGCAGGCTGGATAAAACAAAAAAATTACACTCATTTTCATGTTTTCTACCTTAAGTTTCTCAAATTTATTTATGCTGAAAAACACGTGTTCTCTAGGAAGTATTCAATAAACACAGAAATTTAACTGCTAAATTATACAAACAAGAAATACAACAGAGAAATTCACTTACAATATTAAAAAGTATATATTTTCAGGTTACTTACCAGCATTTTAACCATTATGCTGAGGTTCACTACCTGAAATACTTCTTTCAATAAACAATGTTTGAGTAAAGAATTTAGAAGGTCATTTAGCACTTGTAAATCAAAGTGTATACCCGGTGGAAACTTTCGGTAGTAATCCATAAATGTGTTTACTAAAAATAAAAACATATAAAAGTCATTTGCTGAGTTTAAGATGTTTATCTTTCCTAAATTAGACAAATTTTCTATATTTAAAGATTAAGTAGTATAAATTCATCTTCTTGAAAAGTACATTTCCATATCAGCAGTATTTGATGAAAGTAAATTAAAGCAAAAGTTAGTAACATTTGAGGGTGCCTGAGTGGCTCAGTTGGTTAAGCGACTGCCTTCGGCTCAGGTCATGATCCTGGAGTCCCGGGATCGAGTCCCGCATCGGGCTCCCTGCTCGGCAGGGAGTCTGCTTCTCCCTCTGACCCTCCTCCCTCTCATGCTCTCTGTTTCTCATTCTCTCTGTCTCAAATAAATAAATAAAAAAAAAAAAATCTAAAAAAAAAAAAAAAAGTTAGTAACATTTGAAGTCAACCAAGCACAGGCACTAGACAGAGCACTAACTCATGTGCTAACCACAAGAAATAGGTCCAAGTTGCCTCATACAACTTGGTCTCAATAGGAACTCTGAGGGAGCCATGCTCTCAGGGATTCTTCAGGCCCGGCTTGGTCAGGTATGAGAAACTGTGTAATTTGGGGATGGATGTAGACTATTCTGACACACACCCCTTCTTGTTTTAACCCCACCAACATGTTGATCCTAGGGATTTTTTTTATTCCAGTTTATGATTGTGAACATTCTACTACAAAGTACACTGACTAATTTCCTTTGAGAAAGTAATTTCTTAATGTCAATTCAATTCCTTAATCTATTTTCTATACAACACTTAAACCACTTCTCATTTTCCCCATTAATTTTAGTAAAATTATTTTAGCTTTAAGGGATCACTCATTGATTATTTTTTCCCCATTCCAAAAGTTTGCAGGTCAAAATATCTACTGCCTTAGCTGAAACTGCCTTAATAAAAATTACCTTGGGTTTTATTTTTGTGTAATTATTCCTGCCCAAAACACTTATTACTATCTGGATTACTTAGTGCTGCTTGGGAAAATCAAGAGCTACTGATAAAGTTCAATAGTGTAATAAGAAAAATTAATGTTGAAGTTATAATTACCTTATACAACTTTAATAATACAATATAATAACATTCAGCTTTATTTTAAAGCTCCTTTATATACTATAATTGTTTTTCCTGGGCACATACAGATGAATTCTTCCTGCTATTCACTTTGTAGTATCTACATAGTTCCCATCTTAGCAGGTAACATGGGAAATTCAGTGTCTGCTACTATAACTTATTAATAAAACTAGAACTGCATATGTTTAAAAAAAGAAAGCATAGTTGGAAAAAATTTGTTAGTGTTTAAGTAGTCCACACTAATTGACATGAAGCCCTCCTTCTTTTGTCATGAAGTACTTTTAAAATTTAAAATATTAATATAGCTTCTCCTTTTAAAATGATCTCCTTTGGTTAAACTGTTGGGAGAAAAAGGTTTGACTATTTTCAGTTTTTGATATGAACTGCTACATTGCTTTTCTCCCCGCAAATTTTTCATTGTGTTAAAATACACATAATATAAAATTTATCATCTTCATTATTTTTAGGTGTACAGTTCAGTGGTATTAAATATATTCATAATGTGCATCCATCTCCATAATTCTTTTCATCTTATAAAACTGAAACTCTATGCCCATTAAACAATAATTCTCCCTTCCCCCTCTCCTCCCAGCTCCCAGTAACCACCATTCTACATTCTGTCTCTATTATTTTGACTACTCTAAGTACCTCACGTAAGTATATAGAACAGTAATTGTCTTTTTGTGACTGACTTAACTTACCATAATGACCTCAAGGTCATCCATGTTGTAACATATGTTAGAGTTTCCTTTCTTTTTTAGGCTGAATAATATTCTACTGTATGTATATACCAAATTTTCCTAATCCATTCATGTCATTGAACACTTGGGTTTCTTCAGATTTTAGCTATTATAAATAATCCTGCTATGAACATGGGTGTACCCATATCTTTCAAGACCCTGCTGTCAATTCTTTTGTGTATACACCTAGATCATATAGTAACTCTATTTTTAACTTTTTGAAGAACTGCCATACTCTTTTCCACAATGTAACATTTTACATTCCCACCAACAGTGCACAAAGGTTCCAATTTCTCCATATCCTAATGGATTTTTTGGTTTTTTTGGATAGTAACCATCCTAATGGGTGTGAGGTGGTATCACATTGTAGTTTTGTGTGCCTTTCCCTAATGATTACTGACGTTGAGGATCTTTTTTTATGTGCTTGTTGGCCATTTGTACATCTTGCAAAAAAAAAAAAAAAAGCCTACTCAGATACTTCGCCTATTTTTGAATCAGGTTGGATTTTTGCTGTTGAGTTTTAGGAGTTCTCTATATATTTTGGATATTAATCCATTATTAGATATATGATTTGCAAATATTTTCTCCCATTCTGTGGGCTGAAATTTTATTCTTTTGATACTGTCTTTTAATGGACATTTTTAAATTTTCATGAAGTCCAATTTGTCTTTTTCTTTTGTTGTCTGTGTTTTTATTGTCACATCTGAGAAATTACTGCCAAACCAGTGTTGTGAATCTTTTGTTCTCATGACTTCTTCTAAGGCTTTTATTGTTGTAGGTCTTACATTAAGGTCTTTGATCCATTTTGAATTAATTTTTGTATGTAGTGTTAGGTAAGGGTTTAGTTTTATTCTTTAGCATGTGGATATCCAGTATTCCCAGCACCATTTGTTGAAGAAACTATCCTTTCCCCATTGGATGGTCTTTGCACCACTGTCTAAAATCATTTGATCATATATATAAGGGTTTTTGTCTGGCTCTCTATTCTATTCCATTGGTTTGTATGTCTGTCTGTATGCCAGTACTGCAGTTTTTTATTACTAGCTTTGTAGGAAGTTTTCAAGTCAGGAGTGATTCCTCCAGGTTGTTCTTTTTCAAGATTGCTTTTCAAAATTGTTTTGGGATTCCTTGCAATACCATATGAATTTTAGGATAGGTTTTTCTATTTCTGCAAAAAAATGTCATTGGGATTTTGATAGGGATTGCACTGAATCTTCAGCAGATCGCTTTGGGTAGTACGGACATTTTAACAATATTAAGTCTTCCAATCCATGAACATGGGATGTGTTTCTACTACTTTGTCTTCTTTAATTTCTTTCAGCAATGCTTTGTAGATTTCATTATACATGCTTTCACTTCCTTGGTTAAGTTAATTCCTAAATATTTTATTATTTTTGATGCTATTGTAAATTGAAATGTTTTTGTTATTTCTTTTTCGGATTGTTCACTCTGAGTGTATAGAAATGCAAGTGATTTTTGCATGTTGACTCTGTATACCACTAGTTTGCTGAATTCATATTTTAGTTCTAACGGGTTTTTTGGTGGAATCTTTAGGGTTTCTACATATAAGATCATATGATTTCCAAACAGATAATTTTTGTTTATTTGAAGTTTTTATTTAAATTCTATTTAGTTAACGTATATGGTAAAATTGGTTTCAGGCATAGAATTTAGTGATTCATCACTTACATAGAACAGCCAGTGCTCATCCCAACAAGTGCCCTCCTTAATACCCATCACTCATGAGCCCATCCCCCATCCTCATCAACCCTCAGTTTGTTCTCTATAGTTGAGTCTCTTATGGTTTGCTTCCCTCTCTCTTTTTTTTCCCCTTCCCCATGTTCATCTGTTAATTCCACGTATGAATGAAATCATATGGTATTTGTCTTTCTCTACTTATTTCGCTTAGCATATACACTCTAGCTCCATCCATGTTATTGCAAAGGGCAAGATTTCATTCTTTTTATGGCTGCATAATATTCCATTATATATATGTATATGCATACACACACACAAACACACACACCCCACATCCTCTTTATCCATTCATCAGTCAATGGATATTTGGGATCTTTCCATAATTTGGCTATTGTTGATAATGTGCAAACAGAGATAGTTTTACTTCTTCTTTTCCAAAATGGATGTATTTTATTTCCTTGCCTTACCTAATCACTCTGGCTAGAACTTCCAGTTAGTTCTCTGTTGTACAGAAGTGATGAAAATGGGTATCCTTGCCTTTGCTCCTGATCTTAAGGGGAAGAGTCTTCAGTCTTTCACCATGAAGTATGAGGTCTACAGTAGGTCTTTCATATACAGGTTTTCCTCACTCTCTGGAAGTTTGCTTTATGCCACTTCACTTTTATGAAAGACCTTAGTACAGGCCTACCTTGTTTTATTGCACTTCATTTTATTGCACTTTGCAGATACTTTATTTTTTACAAATTAAAGGTTTGTGGGAACCCTACATCAAATAAGCCTAGTGGCACCATTTTTTTCCAACAGATTTGTTCACTTCATGTCTCTGTGTCACATTTTGGTAATTCTTGAAATATTTCAAACTTTTTCATTATTACATCTGTTGTAGTGATCTGTAATCAGTGATTGGGACTTGCTGAGGGCTTGGATGATGGCTAGAATTTTTAGCAATTAAGTTTAATGAAAGTATATATATATTTTTTTATTATTACACTTAACAGACTACAGTATAGTGTAAATAAATATAACTTTTTTATTTAAATTTTGTTAGTTAACATACAGTGCAATATTGGTTTCTGGAGTAGAATTCAGTGATTCATCACTTACATACAACACCCAGTGCTCATCACAAGTACCCTCTTTAACACCCATCACCCATCTAGCCCATCATCCTCCCACCTCCCTCTTGTTTGTTTTCTATCATTAAGAGTCACTTGTTTCCCTCTCTCCTTTTTTTCTTTTCCCCCTCCCCATATGTTCACCTGTTCCCTTTCTTAAATTCCCATATGTTCACCTCTTCTCATTGAAAATGGCAAGATTTCATTCCTTTTGATGGCTGAATAATATTCCATTGTGTACACACACACACACACACCCCTATATATACCACATCTTCTTTATCCATTCATCAGCCAATGGACATTTGGGCTCTCTCCATAGTTTGGCTATTGTTGATAATGCTGCTATAAACATCGAGGTTCATGTACCCCT